AAACTGAGCTGTTAACCCTGACTATGCTCTTAAAACCAGTCTAATGTTTCACTGACAACCTTTACAGCCTAAATTACTCATTGCCATCTCATTTCTGCTTTATCTGGGTTATCTTTCCCCAGTTACCTTTTGACCGTATTTGGAGGAGCAAGCTTTAGAGATTAGGCTTTCTTTCTGGATGTGTGTCTCCCACTTGGAAAGAAACAAAGATCCTCAGCTCACACAGCAGAGTTTTTACTTCTGGTTTAAGTTACAGCTCGTTCACATGAGGGGAAAGGGTGTAATGGCATCCATGAGTGATGACAGCCAGTGATCTACCCCAGCTGGATACAGTACAGTAGAGCAAAGGCGACTTTGGGTCAGTAGAGAGAGGTGGTGATTAGCGAGGTAAGTCAGAGCAAGGCAGCGAGCTTTGGGAGCCTTGCATCACGGTCAGCATGATTACCCTGTTGTCTTTCCTAGCCAAGATAAATCCTAAACTGAGGCAGATGTGAGATCAGTAACATTTATGGTACATTTAACTACAACTCAAGTGGATGATTGCATTTCAAAGACATGACCAGCTGTAGTTTAGGCTGCTTTGCTTAGGATGCACTACTTTCTTGTAAGAAATCAAGCCAGTGTTTCCCCACCACTCATCATAGTGATCCTTTGCTGCTTGTGAACAGTAACTACAACAATTATTAGCCACAGCAAAAAGAGAACAGACTTGGTGCAAGGAAAAAGGGTGATTTCAAAATCCAAATTTGTTCAGATAAAAAATAAAGTTTATAAACAGAGGAAGAAAACATTTTGATATAACATGTTTCATGTGGTTTTCACTACCAGAATTGATTAGAGTATTTCCTTTGTCTCCTCAGGGTTTTCTGGTGAGCCCTTACGTACAGAGACATTTAAGGACAGAGAGTTTCCATACTTGCTCACAGGGAATTCACAAAGTTTCCTCTAGAAACACCTTTTTCTAACTGAATTAACTCAAAAAGGACTTTGTTGGTAGGAGCCACCCACATAAGGATATTGGGTGCTTTAACATTAAAAGTAAAAGAATGCAAAATTTCAGACTATACTCAATTTCAGAGCATCCCTAATGAAAGTCCAATCAAAACCTAATCCACAGATGCAGTTTTAAAAGTGGAGGGGATGGAGAAAATCCTGAGCAAGCAGAATCATCTCTTTACTTAGCATTTGTTGCTCCACAGAGTCATTTTCCCCTTGCACAATGGGCTGTAGCACTTGTTCTGCCCCACAGCCAGGAGAGGGTTTCTGTGATAGTGTTTCCAGCCATATCCAACCCCAATAGCACCACAGGTCCCCAAAGGGCAGCCTATCCTGCATGTTTGCTCAGCCTATTTTAACAGCTGGAGAATTTCACCTACTTTCCAACTGAATTCAGTCGCTGACTGCAAGAATCATGCCAGCTCGACATTTCAGCCTGATTTATAGACAGTTCTTCATACTGAAAAGAGAAGACAAGTGGAAAAGCAGCTGGACAAACAGCAGTCCTTAGGGATAATGAACAAGGCAAAACCCAGTGGGTTTGACTATAACTAATTGCATCCCTTGTCAGCAAAAGCTCAGGAAAGCCTGTTGTCCCACATGTGTGCACCTACTGTGCTTCTGCATCACTGATTTCGACTTTCTTTCTTTTCAAATCACTGTCTCCTGTGTCAACCTCAGTTTGCTACTGTTATTACTGATGCTGAAGGAATTCAATAGCCATTAACTGCTGAACCTAGACTAGAAGGAGCCAACTGTTACCAATTCAGCCATTTCAAAAAAAGACAAACAGCACCAGCAGGCTGACAGATTTTAAGGGCTGTTTCATGTGTTCCACAGCAAAGAACAAAGTATCTCGCCCGACAATTTGTCATGTGTGGTTTTCATTAAATAACGATCACAAAGCCATTTAGCATTCAGCACAAACACATATCTGAACTGCACGCTCAAACAGCTTATCTCTAGGTCAAATCAAGACTTCAGGGTTTGAGGTAGGAGGAGGCACCCAGCGTTCCCCTTCTTTACACAGTTCATAATTTCACTTTTTCCATCTTATCTCTTTGACCCGAAGGGCTTTTTTTTCCCCCTAGCACTTTCATAGGAAACACAAATAGGAATAGAAGGGAGTCATGGCTTGTCTTAGCAAACTTTAGCTGTAAATATCCAATGCAAAATACCAGCAAGCACTTCACACTCAGTGATCTGAAGCACAGAATGTTTGCTGGTTTACTTGAGATCAGCTTGACTGAATCAGTGGCTGCACTGGTAATCAGAGTTTAGACCATCCAGTTTTTAGAGATGTTTCTACTAATCTCTGCATAAAGGCTTGCTAGACTAAGCAAATACCTGTTGACCATCCAATATTGGCTTCTGCTTGGAGATAATCATTGTGCTAAAAAATGTCAAGAAAGGGTCTTGTCATAAGACTACTATAAAAATTAACATTCACCCAGAAATAAGATTACTTCATGGCTGTGAATATATTGCTCTGAAAATACATTAAAATCCAGCAATGACAATAAAAGTAATGCTTGGCTCTCTTGATAGTAGAGAACATGCCCAGTCAAATTTGGACCCATTATATCAATTCTGCATGACTTTTGGACGCTTGATCCAGCAAGCATCACAAGGCTTTTACTGACAGTTCTCTCAAAAATCCAGCAAGTTGTTTAGTTGGTGAGCTGATTATCACATAATTGGGATTTGTATTTATTTTATGTTCTTTTATTTTTCAAGAGTTTAATCACTATGCCACAACACTAAGTTATCATTAGCAGCCAATAAAGCTCCTCTTCCAGTTGGGAAGCGTTCAGCAGTGGATCAGACTGTAGAAGAGAAGATAAGCCCTCAGTGCTACAAGGAAAGGCGGGTTATATGCACTCCAGAGATACTCAAAGGTGTACAAAAGTAACTCCAGCAAAGGAGTTACTACAATAAAATACCACTTCTTCAACAAGAGGTGTGTTTGCAAAAGTCAGAAAAAGAGGTGAGTCTCAAACTACAGTTTTGGCTTATGACCTTGTAAAATGTTGCACATACCACCACTGTTTCCTTTCAAGTTTTTAAGTATAGGCAGAATAAACATTGAAAGGAATTAGTTCAAATTTGACTGGAGAACATTAGGCCAACTGCAGCACTCCACCCCGCCCCAAAAGAGCATCACTGTTTGAAGATCGAGTCCTTACATGAAGATTTGCTAGCAATAAAAAGAAACAATGCTTTGAGGTTGGTAGTAGGCTAGTCTCCAGATAGTCACCTACAGATTAGGAAAGCACTAGAAAAAGAGATTTAGGCTTCTAGAAACCTCAAAATAAATATCCCAGAAAATAAAGTTAGCAGTTTCTGCTATTTGAACAGTTCAGCTTGTTCAGTCATGTTAATGCATTAGAATTCCACCTCCAGAAGTGATGCAAGGAGCACTGTAAAATGAATTTATAATGGTACTCAGCAGGGATGAAGAGTACCTGCCCAGCTTTGATCCTTTTCGAAACCAGGCTGAGAAATCCACGGGTGTTTTAGTGGGCAGTCTCCTTCCTCCTTGATTAACTTGATCAAAGAGCCCTGTCCCATTTGTTATCAATTACATGCTGATAGGTCCAGCATCAGGGGAGCAAGAACAACTACAAATTAAATGCACATCGTATTGATTTTTAACTTGAGTGTTACCTGACATAGAACCTTCAGCCTTGCTATAAGGAACTACCTAACAGCTGTGCAGAAGCAGCTGTCTCTGAGTTGGGTGCTCTTCACAAGCCCAAACGAGGTTGCATTTGGCAATTTGGGGAACGCTAAAGAAGACATTATCTTTCAGCACAGGCTGTATCACAGGGTCCAACACAGTGGAAGCCACCAAATCCCACATATTTCTAAATGTTCCAGATTGCAACATGAGCAGAGACTGAAAAGGACCAGGCCAGAGCAGCAGATGATGTGTTCCCCATCTCCTCACACTTACAGAAGCTCTTGGCTAAGTGTTACCTAAATGACAAACAAGCTTCATACCACAACTTCTACATCTTCCTTTTTACCACTAGTCATAAAAGTGGCTTAAAAATAGCAAGAAAATATTAAAAATGGCCATATGACACATTAATTCCCCCCCAACACAGAGTCAGCTCCCCATTTTGTATCAAAGGCACAACATGATAAAGCCCAAAGAAGCCTTTCCAGGAAACAAAAAAAAGCACATTTTAAAATGCCTTTCGTTGTTGTTTTTTTCAAGAAGTACTTACTGGCAGCTTTTTATGTCAATACAGAAGCCCTGTTATAATCTTCAGTAAAAGCCAAATAATATTAAATTCAGTAACTCTAAACTGCAGCATATGACAGCCATGTAATTGCCAGAAGAGATTTACCCCAATTAGCTAAACTGAAGTCAAACTTCTAAATATAATTATGTGCACATTCACCATCTTTTGATTTTGCACTTTAATGCAACTTGTAAATTTGTGATGCATTGTATGGCAGTAGAGGTGGAATAACACCACAAACTCCGTAGTGCTTTGACTTCAGGTATTTTGTAAGAAGAAATTGCCTAAACAGTTACATGTACACTGGAGTTTGGGATTAAGATCACAAAGCATCAAGGAAATAAAATGACTCTACATCCCTGAACCTGAAAGCTATTCTAATAGAGAGACTGGATGCCAAGAAGATACCTTCAAGAGCATCTTTGAGAGCAGTTCCACAAGGCGAGAGCTGGATGAGTTAGACATGGAATGATACCACTTGCAACCCATTGCTGTTTCCACTTAGCATTAAAAATAAACAAACAAAAAAAACCTCTACAAAATTGTACTCTTGCCTTTCAACAACAACTGTATCTACAAGCTTTATTTTTAAGCTGGACATATTGCAGACCATCACTTCAAACTGTGCTTTCTTTGAACCCTTATACACGATCCAAGTGTGCACAAGACTTTGGTCATGTCTGGTGCACTTTTTCCAAGTTCACCAACAATCTTTCCTAAGGTTAATTTTTTACAGTAGGATATGACTAATGGTTTGTTTATTTATTTATTTTTATTTCTGGAAACTCTTGTCATCCTACACTGGATATCAAAGAAAAGCACAGTCCTTTCCCACTATGTTCAGGTCTAGAAAAAGAGGTAATGAGATTTTTTTATTTTTATGAACAGTGCTTATTAGTGTTTTTTTCTTAACCAGTCTAAGTTACACATTCAAAGAACAGTAATGTAGTAAGACTATGTTTGGTCTATGGAATATCTGCTGAACTGCTAGCACCAAAGGGAGCAACTGAGCTGTATCCATGTCTTCTTCAGTCTTGAAAACGTTGATATACGTAACTTTTTTTTTCCCCACGTTCATGAAAGTGCCCGTAGATGAGACACATAACACTATCTCAAACACCAGAGTCCTCCATGAAGACAGATGGGCAGACGTTATGTACATGTCCTAAGAGCTCACTCACTGACAGCCTGGAAGATTGCCAGTGTAGTCCAAAGTCAGCATTCATTGTTGGGGTTTTTCTTATTTTTTTTTTTAACTTTAAAAACGATCAAACACATTGTTCTGTAAGACAGATTTTGATCTCTTCAATATCTTCAAGAGAGGCTGGTCTACTCTCCCACAGAAGGAAACAAAACAGCTCATGTTCTGCATTACATGAAGGACTTGTGCAACTCCTCCTTTCCTGACCTGCACCACAGACTTTGAGAAAAATGCAATTTAAACCCTGCTACCTTGCCATGTAGTTGGAGCCATCAGCCTGCCATGTTTCCAGGACTGCAACCTGACTCAGGGTAAGTCACATGGGTCAGATTGGCAAGAATTCTTTCAAGCAGATAAATCCCACCAAAAAAAAAAAAATCCTCTTGGCCCATGGCCCACATGTCAGCTCTTTAATTAAAATTACAGCAAGTCAAGTAGCTGATACTTTTCCCCTCTCCTGGTAGGGGGGATGAGACATTGTTCACAAGGGTGTTCTGTCGTGCCTCGCTGATCAACCGGCAGGCCAAGTCCAGGAAGAGTTTTTCCACATTATCTGATTCTTTTGCTGATGTTTCCAGATAGTACATGTCCTGTGCTTCGGAAAATTCTGCAGCTCTTTGCTGGGAGACTTCCCTCTTATCAGCTAAATCAATCTTATTACCTGTATTGATAAAATATTTTAGAAAAGGAATTAGTTTGACTTCAAAACCAAGACAAACTGAGGTTTAAAAGGAATAAACAAGAGTTTGTAGTTGTATGTAAAGTGGTTTTGATATGTAACTCTTAGTGCTTGCTCTCCCCTCCAAATAACAGATTCCCCAATACACTCAAGTTCATTTAATATCAGGGCATTTAATAAAATATGCCTTGTGAACATTCAAGTCAGTTAGCTCTAATTTAGCACCAGTGCATCTGTTTGCTGCTATCAACTAACATTAAAGGATTTCCATTTTAATATCTATTGAAAATTCTTCTATCCTTGCTCTGAGGAGCACTTAAAATGTCAATTATAGCATATGAGACACTAAATGTGATATTTATCATGTTACAAGCTTTTAAAAAAAGCCTGGCATGGAAGACAGCTTTCCTATTTCAATATTCCCATATAGGATTTGGCTGTGGAGGCTGGAAGAGGGACAGGACTGGGGGGCACTTACAGAGTGAGGCAAGGCGAGAAACCAACCCTCTGCTTCAGAGAGATCAGTTGAGCAGAGAGTTGATTACAGCCTCAAGCAAGTATCTGATATGATTATACACTATTACTGGTCACTTCACTTCAAACATGTTGTTTCTGCCATAAATTAATCTTATAACGAAGATAACAGACCAGGACCTGCAATAACAGGCAGCTGTGTCCACAGACTCGGTAGGTTCAGGAGGAAACATCTCCTGGCCTCACTCCTACCGGCAATTTTGTGAGAACTAGTGGGAGGAAAAGATGGTGTTTCCACTAGCAAGCCTTGTCTCATTGCCCTCCTCTCATTTGAGATTGCCTTCTTTCCCAAGAATGCAGTTTCTTGGACCCACTACATTCAATGAAGTTACCTTTCTAAACAGATTACCATCCAACACAAGTGATTTATGGGTGTCACCATCTTCAACATGTGAATTATGACTAAAATATGTTTTATACGTTGCACTGTAGATGCTGGCAATTAACTTAATGTTCACTAAAAAATTAATGTGTACATTTGTTAGTCATGTAATAATTATTTCTGCCCATTTGTACCCAGGCCATACTCAAGGAGTAGGAGTTTCTTGTATGGAAGCTCTATGAACCCCACAGCTCACTTGACATACCACTGGGGCATGTAAAACTCAAAAGAATTGTTTTTTTTCAAATACACAATAAACAGTCTTTACAGTTACCTAGACTTTTTCGTTTAGACAACAAACTATTAAAGGTGATATCAACACTGCAGCATGCAACTTTTTGGCTTTCCCCAAGTTATTTTTCCATTGTTCTTTATATATTTTGGACCCTTAAAAGCCAAATCCAGACTATCAAATGCTTGAAAGCAGAGTATGGAAAAGCATGGGTAGGCAAAATAACCTTCCCCTTGCTTATAGCAGACAGATGGCCTGAGGTCTGTTTTGTCTTGAGTTGAAGCTCCACAGATTAATATAACATTCAGTTATTTATTTTTAGTTTCCCTAAAATCCATGCAAAATTATCCAGTTTTCCAGCTCTGCCCCACCTATGAATGCTACGACCCACGCAACCATCCCATCCTGATGTGGTTCCCAGATCCTGACCATTTAAGACAAGACTGGTTGTCCCACTCCTATGGGGTACAGCAACCTGCAGTCATCACCAGCTTGCGCAGATCCTCACATATTTGTAGTTTGAAGTCACAAGGAGAACAGCTCTGTTCTTAGCTTGGTTGGTAGCTGCCCCATCCACACTTCAGTCCCTTGTGGGACCATGTGGTGGAAAGCATCCCCCTCTGCATGCAATAGCCTTAGGTCTGAAACAGGACCACACTTCAAAGGTGGCCACAGCATCTTGAACACCACTATCATTGTCTTGGGGTTATTTGCAGAAGGAATGGTTCAAGCACTGGGTTTAAGGCACCAGCTGGACCCCGTGCCCACCTACAGTTACAACTGGCTGGCAACAAGATCCACCGGACCAGTTCAAGCATCCTGCACCAGCAGTTCACACAGATGCCATGTTTTCCTCCTGCTAACTCCTCCATCTGCCCCTCAATACGCGCAGCCTACCCCCTCCTCACAGCACCCCGTGAGGGACGATTGTCACTTACCCACTAGCACAGTTATGACCTTATTGCTGGCATACTGCTCAATTTCCCGCAGCCACTCGGGGAGGCACCGGAAGGATTCCTCACAGGTGATGTCGTAGGTCAAGATCAACGCGTTAGCACTGCGATAGTAACTCTGCGTGATGGATCGGAATCGCTCCTGTCCTGCTGTGTCCCAGATCTGCAGCTTTTGACGTAACAAGGAAGGGTGGTAAAAGGAAAAAAAAAGTTATTTAACTTTTTTATTTGATGGCAGCGCTGTTTTGACCTAAGGAAAAAAACACCTTCCAGGGTAAAGCAATGCTAGGAAAGCACTTAGCTCTTCTCCCTTTGGCTGCCCTTCCCCCAGCACTATTTGTTTCGATTCTTGCACTTGTGGATTGAAATGCAAGGCACAAAGTCAGCTGGCACTGTGGTCAACGGCCCCTGGAAGCTGCAGGTCTCAGCACTTTCATGTGACTTCCAGCATCTCCCTCTACTGTGGACAGAGCTGCTGGCCTGGAGTTACAATGCAAGTGCTGGAGGGAGAGTCACTTCTCCTGCCCCTGAAGTTCAACAACAGCAGCACCCATTCCCAAGAAAAAATAAGAATGCCTCTCCTCTAGCTCCCAAAGCTAGTTATAGTTACTCTGAGATGATGCACTCATGAGTGGAAAGCAAAGGAACAAACAAGGAGCTCAGCTGAAGGCTCTGAAGGCTGATCTAAGGATTTTTATGTACTTCCTCTCTACAACTTCAGCCATCTCATAGTTTGCCTTCCTAACATGTAGAGTTGGTTGACATGGCCTTCACTATATCACAGAATCACAGAATGCTTTGGGTTCGAAAGCACCTTAAAACCCACCTAGTTCCAACCCCCCTGCCATGGGCAGGGACACTTTCCACTAGACCAGGTTGCTCAAGGCCCCATCCAACCTGGTCTTGAACACTTCCAGAGGTCAGGCACCCACAACTTCTCTGGATAGCCTGTTCCCATGTCTCACCACCAACAAAGAAGTCATGAGTGCTTGCCAAACCCTCTGGATCCAGGAAGACAACATACATTTCCCCCTGTAAACTAAACTTATACTGGTTTTATATTTTGACCATCTGATAGTTTTTGGTGGGCCATCAAAACCTCAATCCTTCAAAAAGGAAGTCTAAGAACAAACATCTAAAATTAACACATTTCAAGATAAAAGAGTATTTCTCTTCAGCTTTTCTTTTTTTAAAGCACTTCTTTCTAGAAGCAAATATGTGAAAGGATGACTTCCAGCCAAAATCCTGTGTACTTTGGGAAGAAAAAGGTGTTTCAGAGTTTTTCCATTTATTCAGCAGCCTGTAACAGAGAAAATCTTATTCTTGCCCAGTTCCAAAGTCAAGCTACATCAGCCACTCATCATAAAGATGTTAGTTTGAAATGAGAGCTCCCAGTAGCAGCTTTCAGACATGGGGTATGATTTTGAAAAAAATACATTTTTTGCAGAGAAAGTAATTTGTGGCTGGCTCACAGCCCCTGGGCACCTTTGTGCTTTAATCTCTTGGCATAGTTGTATTTAAGTGGCTGAACCTGGCACCTGTAAAGTGATACACAAAACCATAAATGAAATTACTTGAACGTGAAAATCAGATAATGAATGAGTCCTCGTTAAAACAAACCAGCCTCCAAACTCTGGCATATGGAAAGATACAGATAATTCTGCTATTCCTCAGCTGTTACCCAGGAAAAACATTTACTGACTGTCTACCGGTTAACTCCAGCTTATATAGGTTCTGCATTTACTGAGAACATAAAAACTTGCTGTGAATATGTTCTTCCACTGCTTTAATCTAACAGACATTGAAAACAGAAGGGGATTGTGCTGGGGAGAGGGTTTCTCACTGGTTGCAGTTATGAGTCTCTCTCTGAGCTGGGTGCCCCTGATCTTACAGCCAGTGAAAAACTCTTCCTGCACATAAAATGCACATCTCACACTTCCCCTCATTGGTTATTTCTGCCAAATAAAATATTTCATAGCAACCATTTTACTTGTATAATTTTTTTTTATCAAAATAACCAAAGGACTGTGTCTGATTCAGCCTGTGGAAAATCTAGACGTTTATTTTCTTGGAGCTTCCCGCTCTCCCAGTGTTTGCACACACACTTAGCTTTCCACCAAGTATAATGAGACACAGGTCCATGTAGCACTAATGATGCTTAGCTCTGACCAGCACAGTAACTGCTGGTTCAAATTTGTGGACCCTCTTGGTACCAGTGTTGCACATAATTTTGGGGTTTATTAGAAAAAGCCAGATTAAAATCTCCCTCAACTGCACAGTGCTCTCTCAGTCTGTTGGCCAGTGAGCTCTAGTAGCTGCTCATATCTGAAAGAGCTTGCATACAGCTTTCATACCAGCAAGTCCCTCTTCACTGACTTTCTAATGACAGTTTTGAAAGTTGAAAAGTACTTTTCCCCAGAAATCTCTATTCTATTTTCAAGACTAAAAACTTTTTTGGTAAACAGCTCTGGATCCCAGCAGATGTGCAGGAAAGGCTGCCCAGTACAGAGGCAGAGTCATGGTTCAGGCACTGCTAAATGATCTAACAGTCAGAGCAGTGTCTTGTTTGACCAAGATGTCATTTTTATTGCTCTTTGCTCTGACTCATTCCTGCTTTTCCTGCTCATTAAATGTTTATTCTCACAAGCACTGCTTACTCAAAAAGTTTCGGCTACAATATCACCCCCTGAAAGAGATCTGTTTGCCTTTCAGACTCCAGGAGGCTCATTCAAATATCCAAATATCGTACTAAAGCTTAGCCCTCCAAAGCTTAGTCACTGAGGCTGAGCTCCAGCAACTCCAACCTACTGCATTGGTGGTGTCAGGAGAGGGACTTTAAGAACTCATTTGCTATGTGAAATACAGCTGGTATGTCAGCTACCACTTACTAAGGCTCTGTGACACACAATCCTGCCTCAGGGTGATTCAGGCAGTTGCTTGGAGGGACACCTGTGCATTCATCACACATTTGCAGAGCAGCAGGGACTTCTCATTTAGCTTGTAGAGCACCCCATAACCATCCTTGCCCTGAGATAGCCCATGTTGGCATGACTGCTCCCAACATTCACTTAAGGAGTTTGCACTGTCAGCCTGAGTTAGTCTTAAAACAGGATTGTATCACAGGAGCAACAAGTGAAAGACAAATCCTTAGGGTGAGTTCATCTATACCAAAGCCAGACTTCAGATATAAGTGATGTTCTTAAGGCTCCATCAGTACTTGACAGAGAACCAGATGCTTGAAAAGGAGAGGTGTCCGAGGTGGATGTGATTAATCTTCCCCAGGATTGCTCTTCTCCCTCCAGTGACCAGGACAATCTTGAGACTTCTGTTTTAAGCCAGATATATAACGGGGAAAAAATGAATTCCACCTCCAGTGCAGTGATTAAGCCATTTACCAGCTCAGATCCTCTGTGCTGCTTCACTGGAGCCGATTTTGGCTGAAAGAAGTATCTCTGCAGTCTGAGGAGCTTGGACAAACAGCATCCGTGTCCTGGCCAACCTTGCTACTGCCCGCTAATGAGCACTGAAAGCACTGGGCTGAGCACTAACGCCACAGGGGCTACACGTAATCCGCTCTGCCTCTCTGCCTGCTGCTCTGTCCCACTTGCACAGCCATATGCTGAATATTAACTCAGTCTTTAGCAGGTGAAGGTATTTATACCTCTTGTCCTTCACCTGCTCAGGCAGGAAGGTCTCCTGGTCAAGCACCATCACTTGCCATTGGTTTGCACAGCTCCTCGTGCAGCAGGGTGGCAGGCTGCTGACATGATCACCGCTTTTAAAATCTGTCCTGAACTTCGGAACACACCACACAATGTTCTTCTTAAAAAACCTCCGTGGTGAAATACAGGTTAAAAAAAGCCTGGGGCTGAAAGTCTGCCCAAATCCACTGCTTCCATCCCACCACTGGAATTTCATGCACCCCTGAATTTCATGCTGGCAGAGTAAATCCAGGAGCGGCTCAGGGACCCTGGACATCTTGACATTAGAGGCTCAGATAACCATACTCTTCTCTCATCTCTTAGACACCAGAGTAGCTGTAGTGAAACCTCTACTAATGAACAAAGTGGTGCCAGCCAACATCTCTGGGCTCTGGAACCCAACCATGGATCCCATTAAAGCATGAGATTGGTCCCCAGTGTGCCTTGGCCCAGGCAAAATATGTCTCTGCCAAGTGATGCTCAGGCTCAGTTTGGGAGTTAGCATAGAACAAGGACAGTTTCCCAGCAGTGGTTTGGTTGCAATCACCCTATTTTAGAGGGTGAAAGACTTAATAATATGGAGACCTGTGCCCTTTGCAGTTAAATGTTGGCTCAAACACTAGTACTGTGGTCATCTCTGCTTCTCCCAAATCTGTAACTTGGCAGAAGTGGAAGATGAGCCTTTGTTGTGCAGAACCCAACAAGTCCAGAAGCCTGCTCTACCCAATGGCTGTCTTGGGAGCTCACAGGAGAAGACTTTCATCAAGCGCATCCCAGGGAGTACAATAGATTTCTGCTTACCAGAAATGCTGCGAGCAGAGGCTGCACTGAAACACTCCTTTGTGCTTCCTTAACCCCAGCCAGGCAGAATCTTACCATCTCCTAAGCAAGAACAGAGTTTTGCGAAATCTCCCTGTTCCATTTCCTCCCTTGCAGTAGGGGAATATGTTGCAATTCTGATGGTAATTGTGGAGAGGAGCATACAGATTTTTAGACCCTGCATTGCCCAAGCTGTGCCAGACAGCCCTGCACTTGCCAAGTGCCTCCCAGCAGTGGGAGGGCTGCAGCAAGAAACCTCAGCTATGGTACTGAGACATGAACTTACACATAAAATCATCAAGGCTCCTACCTTTACTTTTTCACCGTTTATCTCCACAGTTTTAATCATAAAGTCAACCCCAATCGTGGCTCCTTGCCCTGGTGGGAAAAGCCCCTGGAAGAAAACAAGAGTTTGATTAAGCATATATCTGTAGCAAGATAAAACTCTCACTGGGTACTAATCCTCTCTGTTTCATCTTCAAAACTATTCATCCCTTGTCCCCTTCCCTGGACACTTATTTCTGTCACATTTAGAGTGTGACATTTCCCCAGCATGAAGGTTGCCATAATTCAACCCTACTGTTTTCTCCCTGTGTATGCATCTCTAGTTGTGTAGCAAGTCACTGAGTTCAGAGGTAGGGAAACAGGAAAAGAAAAGGAAGATACATATAGGGGAAAAAAGAGAGGGGGAAAGCCCTTCTACTTCTGTGCAGTTGGAAGAGGCAGGGGAAGGGTGAGGACCTTCCATTGTACTTCCCAATGCATTGAAAGAGGTGTGACCATCTGCATGGGCTTGGACAATACCTTTTGCTTCTGCAGCCTTGTGCCTTTCCTTTTCCCACCACCACACCCCATGGCAAGGATAGGCATTTCTGGCAGCTCTCAGCAATGGGGTCACATTTCTGCACAGCACTTCCAAAGTGAAGCACAGAGCCAGCCATCACTGGTGCCACAACAATGGCAAGGGACAGACTGATGCTTGTGGTATTTGATTGCAGCACAATCAGAAAGGAGCAACAACAAACAAAAACAAAACAATAGCTTTTTGTTTTCTGGTCTACCAAATCATGTTGATTTTGTGGCACATCCCTTTCCTACAGCAGCTTTAGCAGAAATGGTCAGACATTCTTGCTGTTAACCTTTTGGGGTTGACTAGCTTTATTACCACTGGTTGTCACATGTTTCTGGAGACTTTCTAACATCACCATGGCTTTAAAACTGAAATTAACAGTGAAGAAGAAAATTGCTGACAATATCCAGTCGAGAGTGCAACCAAAACTCCACAATGTTTTAAGTACATCATGCAAAGCCTTCTCTTGCCCCAGATCACAGAAGCATGGTCCTTTCCCTGTTATTCTGCCACAAAAAAAGGTCCAGAAGACACTGGACTGACAGATCAGGACCCAGATTATTTATCTACTAACGACAAATAACAGGGAGAACTTTGTGCAGCAAAAGATAGGAAAGAGACCAGGAGATGTGCTGATCCTTATAACCACCAAAACAGGAGTTATCCCAGTGGCTTTCAGAGGGGAATTTCCACCTTCACAGAGGAATGAGCTTTCTCCAACGCAAAATCCAGAACAGGGCCAAGTTCAATCCAGAACAGGGCCAAGTGCAGCATTAGATAAAGATGTGCTGCTTGTGCCAGTGTGTCACTATAGGTGATACCTGCACCAAGAGTGTGAAAACCAAAATACTTTGGAGCTGTAATGCTGGCAGAGCCCTCAGTGTACAGTCACAGGCTCCATGATCCATCCCAGTGCTGTCCCTATCCCCCATCTCAAAGTCTCACATCCAAGAGGTAGCCAACTTTACCTGAGTGAAGCGACGGACTAGGCAGGTCTTCCCCACACCAGCGTTGCCAATTAAAACAATTTTGAAGAGGAAATCATAATCTTCCATACTCATTTACGCAGCTGCAAGAGAGAGAAAGCACAATACTACGTGAATCAAATCAGAGGGGACACGACCTTTTATCCCCGCTGAACTTTATTACTCCAAACATTCAAAGGTCTCCTGGCACACACGTGGCTTCTGAGATAAGGGAGAAGAACACTTCCCACTCTGAGCCGGGGCATCCACGTAGTCAAAAATCAGTTGCTGTGAAACTTTGGCCATATTTCAGTTCTCATGTGCTCTCACCTGGCTGCCCACAAATTAAAGATGCTGGTTTTCAGCTTTCTGAGCAGTGCTTCACAAACCTGAGACATTGATTCCTAGATGTCCCCAAAGGTTTTTTTTTTTTATTTTAACTACATCAGCTCCAAAGGACAGTGTGGACTTTGTCACATTGTCCAAGGGGATCATGTAATTTATTTCTGTGAGGGCATTACCCAAAAACCTCACATGAGATCCTCTGAGAGGGCACTGGGTACACACAGAACAGGGTTGGGGCAGAACAGATGGGGAACTTAATTTTAAAACAAATGCAGCAGTGTTTGCCTTAAAGACAGAAAGAGCTTATGTGCTAAAACTGTAGTGAGGACTGGGGTAACAGTTTAAAAATATCTTTTAATGTTTTCAGCTAAAAAAAAGAAATAATAGATGCTAATAGCAATATTACTAGTATGATAATTTTCTTTAGTTTTGTGAGGATAGATTGCTCAAATGGGAATTGAACAGAGAGGAGCTTCAGGCATATCCAGCACCCCCCCACAAGTCAAATCTTCTTAGCAGGATGATTTCGGCAACATCACAGGAGATGGGCAGGGTTGCCTACATGGAAGACCTCTATGCAGGGCTTCCTTAGGCCACTCAGAGTGTGGGGAGGACCAAACAGACAAATGTAGTTTGCTGCAACTGAGCAAGTCATGAGGAATGAGCATGCACACCTCCATCTCCAGTGCACCTGAGGGTGCTGCCAACACTGTGACCAGAAAAGGGGTCTGTAACCTTCAAGAAAAGCAACAACAGCCAGAAGAGATTCAGTTGGAGACTTTAGGCAGACAAAAACCCACAAGGGAGTAGAAGGGCAGTGTCCAAACTCCATTATGTTCAGGAGGATCCAGGTATTGTATGTGGCAAAGAGCTGTCCTCAAGACTGGTCTGGAGTAATGGCATAAAAGACTCAAGTGAAGAGACAGATTTACAAGCCATCAGTTCAGATACCAGATAGAACGAAACCTAAGCATCAGTACCTAACACACCAGTACCTATAGATCAGGAAATGAATGAGGAGATAGAGCCAAAGATGGTAAGTACAGGAGAAGGATAAGGCAGATAGGTGGGGAATGGGGGGAAAAAAAAAGTATTATGAAAGTGCTATCCTCAGTAAAGCCACAGATTCCTTAGAGGATCTTTACAGAGCTGATGAAGGGAGCAAATGCAGCCTGGGTGAAACCAGCTTTTCATGCTCAGCCCAAAGTCAGAGTGCCCTCTCCCACTGCCTCCAAAGGTCCTTCCTCTGAAGGGTTCATTGCCACACACCAGAAGGCTCCAGCTACATACCCCGGTCCCACCAAACAGTTGTGATAGGCTTATAGTCAAACAGCCAGAGAATACAAGATAGAACTGAGCCAGTCTGGATCTGCCTGGCAGGGTGCATGGCAACAGCTCTCCAAGCACTACCAAGAGTCTGACGGGCAATGGATCTAAGGGCAAAAGAGGTGGAAGACTGATTCAGCTGCTTTCACATCTATGTGGCCCTTGACCATTCCAACAGCCTAAAAAAAGGGTAACCACGCCAATTAGTGACTAATGAGCTGCATCACATCAGCAGATGGTTAGCAGGAACACACTGAGTCACTACACAGACATGTCACTTCGCCTGGGCCAGCAAAGTGCCACCAAACAACAGCTGCTGGAGGCGTCCTGAGGATGCTCTAACACGCAAGACCTTGCAGTTCCTTAGTATCTCTTAGCACAGTGAAAGAGTGGGACCTTAAAGAACAACCTCAAAAGTGCCCTTTTTTATTTTCTGGGGCTCTTATTTTGTGTAATTGTTTCATATCTCCATGATTGGCTTTCCCAGAGTAGGACTGGATAAAAACAGCAGTATTAAAAACATGTTGACAGTGCTCTTACAATGAAGGTTAAAATGTTAATATAAGGTTTCAAGCTTTCACACTAGCAAACACGAAGAAAAATGTGATCATCCACTAAAAGCTATTTCAAGACTAACGATACTCACTCAGCACTGCATAATTATTCCTGGGATTCTTCATACCCCAGAGGGTAGGCTCCCCACAGAAAGATTTCACTTCGATTACTTGTACCCTAAACAATCCAAAATTAAAATTTATCTTCTTAGGAAGCTTAAAAATAAACTTCCTCTGCAGATCTTTGAGCTCAGAAATGCTAAATGGCTCAGAAATACCCTAGAGTTACGTCTGATCCCCTTCATTAGGCTCCAGGACTAATCATATGTGATAATGACCCCAAACGGGAACTGAAAAGTGAACCAAGACCATAAAACAAACCATGCAATGATGAGATTAAATGTCAGAACAGAAGAGATACAAGAAATGGGGGTATGGGAAGGGAGAAAGCAAAGGAAGCAGCAAGGAAGAGTGAGAAGTGATTTGGGCAGGTGAAGTTGACCACCACCACCCTATTACCCAAACTGGTGTTTCCCCTCTAAGTGCACACACGCTACCCCAGCACGCTGTCAGTGCTGGACACAAACATTGCATCAGTTACATTATGCAATCCTCTCCTCCTGCACCCGAGCCTCTCAGCCAAGTGACCTTTGCTGCTGACTCTGCTCATGCTACCCTCCCTGTCCCCAGACAAGATGTGTCTCAACCTCTGCCCCACTCGGGAATGTGCATCTCAGCAATACAGCGCACATTGAATTATATGCTTAAAAAAAATTATAATACATGGAGCACAACTTGCACAACTTTGCTGTTTGTTTTTGGGGTTTTTTTCCTTGGGTTTTTTTGGTGTGGGTTTTTCCCTCCCACCATCTTCTCTCTTCTTGCGTTCACAGGCACAGTGCTCTGCCTCACATCCCTGTGGTGGTTTAAAGTGTTTAGGATGCAGTTGCCTTTCCCACCCTCTGGCAGAGACAAGACACTGTAGTGAGGGCAAGGGATAGGATGCCAGTCCATGCCTCAGCCACCCCTCACCACATTAATTTAAGTCATAAACAGAGCTGGCTACAGCACAAAGACATGCCCTATCATGAGATGAAGCAGGAGTAGAGCCTGAGGCTGGTAGCAGGGCAGAAAATTTGGTTTCGTAGCTGTTTTTCCCAGTTGCAGCTCACAACCTAACTGCCTCCATGGGCTGTTCCCAACTGACTCCCGGGGAATCAGTTTTGCAGGGTTTTATTTAATTTGTGTTGTTGCTCTGCTCCACTTCCTCGCATGACCCCACACACAGTCACTGAGCAGAACAAGAGGCCAGGAGGGGTAAATCGAGGCAGGGAGACCACCCGGAGAAGTGATCCATCACTGGGAATGCAGCTGAAGGACAGCAGGACATGTTTTAGACTTAGCTGGCTTTCACAGAATCATTAAGGTTGGACAAGACCTCTAAGATACGGTCCAGCACTGCCAGGTCCACCACTAAACGATTTCCCTAAGTGACACATCTACATGTTCTTAACACTTCAGGGGATGGTGACTCTACCACTTCCCTGAGCAGCCTGTTCCAGTGCTTGATTACCCTTTTAGTCAAGAAATTTTTCCTAATGCCCAATATAAATCTCCCCTGACACAATTTAAGGATGCTTCCTCTCATTCTATCACTTGTTATTTGGGAAAAGAGACTGACCTCCACTTTGCTACTACTTCCTTTCAGGTAGCTGTAGAGAGCAAGAAGGTCCCCTCTGAGCTTCCTTTTCTCCAGGCTAAACACCCCCAGCTCCCTCAGCTGGTCCTCATAGGACTTGTGCTCCAAATCCTTCACCAGCTCCACTGCCCTTCTCAGGATGTGCTTCAGCATCTCAATGTTTCTTCATTTGGGCAAGACAGTGCAATAAATGCTCTTGGTATTTTTCAGTTATTAATTCCAATTCAATGAAAAGACTGGTGAGATCCACCCAAACTAAAAGCACAAAGGACAGGGGCTTTCACCTCTTCTTCTCCCCATCCAAGCAAGCTCCAGCTCCCATGGAGACACCTGAAAAAGGAATGCAGAAGTCATGGGCTGCTTTCCCCATGCAGCAAGCACTGCTGCAAAGGCAAGTGTGCACCAGTCTCTCCCACTTCTCCCCGTGTTTCTTGCTAGAAACTCTCCCATAGCCTGGTTAGCAGGACTTAGTCCTGTTTCACCCTGCTGTGGGCTCTTCACTGTATGTAAATGTGGGACAGCAGTACATTTGAGGGAGGAGAAAGACACACTCCCTCCTGCTTTTTATGTTCACCATACACTGCAATGCAGGGAGTTTATCCACTGTAAATATATGCTTCAGGGAATGAGATATCCAGGTATGTTTCTGCTTATTCCCTTATGTGATGTCCTCTATGCATTTACTCCATTTACCTCTTAATTCTGCCTGATCCACTTTCATTTACTTGGCAGTGTTTATCACCTGAACTAAGGATTTTCTTTTTGCAGTGTTTTTTTACCCATTGGTTTGGATGGTCACAGAGGGTCTCTCTTCACCCCTGACCTGCTTTGACCATGTCTTGCTCAGCCTCTTTGGCTACCAACTAAGTGGCAGAAATACAATTCAAAGGTTAAAATACTACCTGGAGGCGTGAATGACTTTGGAGTGATCAAATTCTCCTTCATGTGGACGAAATCACTACTCTGCCTGTCCCCCATCAGCTTTTACATCAGTACTAGTGTTTGCACAAACAACCACTAAGTATTAGTGAGGTTTTCAGCTGGTAAAGAAATCTCTGGCACTTCTCTCTTGACCCCTTTGCTCAAGGAAGATTTCCACCTCTAGGCATAATGATGATTTTACCCCAATTGTTTTTGCTTATGAAGCCAGAGCTAGAGTGGAATACTTCAAAAGAACAAA